GACTCGTTTTGAGGCAAAAATCTTTCCGGTTTGAAGACATTGGGCTCGTCGTAGTGGTCGGCGTCCAGATGTAGGGCCCAAACGGGGATTATAATGGATGTGCCCTTCGGTATAGATATGCCATTTAACACACAATCATTTTCGGCAATTCTGTCTATTCTGGATAATTATATTCAAATTCTAGTTAATTGTGTTTCAAATAAATACACATTATTTTGATTACCTGTTGACCGAACAGTTAAATCTCATGATTTCTTTGAAGAAAGCGTCCAAATAAGGCATTTTCATGACTGACTCGTAGTCGACGTCCGACTGATCGCCGAAATGACTGTTTATCTCATTCACGAGTTTTGTCTGAAAGTTGGGATTTAGTGCTAAAAATTGAGTTATAAATGATATTTGTGTGGCTGTCGTGTCGTAACCGGCGGCCATAAAGTTGATACTTTGTGCCAGAAGTTCTTCCTCGCTCAATTCTATTCAAATAAATATAACGATTATATGACTATTACTTTAAATATTAGTTTTCAAAACTATTTACTTTTAAATGAATTCGATGTGACTTTGGGAGAGAAAACGCTGGCATTTATAGACAATTGCAAAAGATCTTTGACTTCAAAATTGTTGGCAATTCTCTCGTTAATCACTTGTTTGATAAAATTGGCGATTATTTGCTGACTCTCTTCGTTGAAGAAATGAATGTCCAGATAATGGGCTAATTGTGGGAACAGAAACAATAGGAAAGTCTTGACAGTGAAACCCGTCTGAAAGAAACTCTTGGCCGCCTCGAAGACCGGGTGTTTGGCATTATTGATGAAAAGAAATGAATGTCCAGATAATGGGCTAATTGTGGGAACAGAAACAATAGGAAAGTCTTGACAGTGAAACCCGTCTGAAAGAAACTCTTGGCCGCCTCGAAGACCGGGTGTTTGGCATTATTGATGATATCGGTGTTGAGACCAAACGCCGACTTTGATATCACTTCAAACGCAAACGAGTCATATATGGGCCGCAAGTCTATTGTGTTGTTTGACTTTATTTCTGACTTTAGTTTTGCGATCAAAACATCTAACGATTGGCCAAACGATGGCTTAAAACTCTTGAGTTTCCCGGTTGTGAACGACGGCGAAAGTATGGCTCGGATTCGCTTCCAATTCGGATATTTGGCAAAGAATAGGGAACTGTTTAACAGATCCTTATGTGTGGTCGCATTCTTGGGTCAAAATTAATTTACATTTTATTAATTAAATATTGGTTTATTTGAATTTGATGTTTGCATTACCCGACGGTTTGCAAACTTGTGAAAGTCGGTCACCAAAACGGCGCGAATTAACTCCGGGTCTATTGTGGACAGACATGGCTTCAAGCCTTCGTAAAATCTGTTTCATAAACATGTAATTATAATTTTATACATCATATAACTTACACCGTGTGATGAGTTTAAATACCCCACAGTTTTGCCGTATTTCCTATGACTTTGAAAATCAGACAAATGAAAGGGTTGTGCACTTCTAGACGAGAGGTCATTTGGTAATCCCAGTCGACTCCAAAACGTGAGTTTTCGGTAAACATACCATACAATCAATACAATAAAGCCCACAATTAATGGCATCAAAAACATATTTACTGTTTTTTATTGAAATATAATATTTCAAATAAAATATTGAACTAATAATAAGTTATTGGCAATTATTTTAGAAAATTTATAGCAATTTTGTTGGACAAAATGCCAATGGTATCGCTGAAAGGAAATTTTTGATTACATATCAATATATTAAATTCAATGTCATAATTATCAGTATTATTATACAGTTTTAGTATATAAAACATGGTATTTGTAAAATCATCCTATTTTTAACTACTGAATCAGTGACAAAGATGGATCAATAACTGCTTAATTATTGTTATTTTCATTTTAATATATCGTCTATTAATTTATGATAAATATTTCCAAAGTTATTAAACCTCAATAACTCCTAATCTAATCATTGATTTATTTATGATATTTTTGCCTAATAACTGATATATGTGTGGTTTTTTATGCAAAGTTTATAAGATTTATTAATACTTGTACCTAAAATCTTTAAATTGAATGATAGGCTCTAAAAATACAATAATTTATTTATTAAATGTTTTGTCAGCAACATATTTACAAAACATAAATAGCAATTGAATTATTTTACATCCCATATGAGTACATGTTCAACGACAACACAATTATAAATAAAAGTTTCATATTATTTATAAGATTTATAATTATATTTATTTTTAAATTATTTACTTATCATTAATTTTTAAAAATATTTCAAATAAAGCCATTTTTAAAATATGTAATAAATAATTGTTTTTGCAAATTATTAAATCAAATAATCAACTGATGTTTTAAAAATAATAGGTATAAATTTAAAATAAATTTGCAATACACAATATTTTAGTTACAGAATGCACAATGTTATCTCTCAATATAATAAAGTTTATCTAGGATAATCTTTGAATTAAACAATTTCCCTTTTCGTTCGGTAATTTCCTATTGATGTCTCCGAAGGCAACCAA